ACCCTGCATGACGGCATGTGGCACGACATTGCTGCTAAGAGGTAACTTGCTGAGCATTAGTTGTACCCTGCATGACGGCATGTGGCACGACATTGCTGCTAAGAGGTAACTTGCTGAGCATTAGTTGTACCCTGCATGACGGCATGTGGCACGACATTGCTGATAAGAGGTAACTTGCTGAGCATTAGCTGTACCCTACATGACGGCATGTGGCACGAAATTGTACTTGAGAGGTTTTTAACATATTCTGGCTTTGCGCCTAAGCTTACCCTACAACACAGCGCGCAAGGAAAAATTGCTCCTCTAAGGTGACAGATTTTCACTAAGCCTAAGTTGCATCTTGCGTGATGGCATGAAGAGAAATATTGCTGCTCATTGCTTCATTGTTTACTACAACATAAACAATTGAGTTTATTGTCGCTAAGACTGGTGCTTCAAGGCACTAGGCGATGCAAGTTTTCACTTGAAAGAGACTATTATTATGAATCAAGCTTCGTTTTTACCATGTATGCCATAATGTTGTACAATAAAGCCTCTTGAGCGCTATTAATTCTTTATGCCTTACTTTATGCTTCTCATTGTGTTGGCGATGTGATATTCCGCTGCCTGTTGAGGGTCGCTGTTATGTATTATTTTTGCATCGTCTTACCTCGATGTGCGAAAAAATGCTTACTTACCATTTATTGTCAGCGCCACCAAATAAGCAAAAAACGCTTTACAGCGATAATATAAATATTAAAGATTGTAAAGTACTCTTGTCATATATATGCATCAATTATAACACATGAAAATAATGCGGGATTTTCATAATTTCCGCGTATGAGATTGGTCACATATTATTCTCATTTAAAAGCAATTTACATGACACAATTAAAAAAAGGCTTATAAGAGTAAATCCTGGTAATGAAAGTTTAATTTAATTATGCTCTTGTGTATCTTTAAGCTTAACTTGCACTTTGATTGACTCCAGGTAAGGCTCATGTGTATGAAAATGGAACATGCAAAATGTAACTTATTTATTTCAACTGTACATGACTTCGTAACGAAGCAAGTTTCAGCTGCATAGCACCAAAAAACTATACAGCCTCGGCCGTTAGCTTCATTTTCACGTGAATTTCCAAACGCTGCCCACTTGAGCCACGAGCGCCGCGTGTCCTCTCAGGTTCGGCAACGTCCTGGAGCTGACAGCAGACGACGGCGACAGGGAGCTACAGAGGCTGTCACAGGAGGAAGAAATGTCATCACTCGCCGCTCCTGTGCAGTGGCGGGATGAACATTTGTGGGGAGCGGATGCTCCTCATCCTGGCGGTAAATCTCCCAGATCCGTTGGCGAAAAGCCCGTCATTCACACGAATTTCAAAGAAGGTTAGCAATTTCGATTTTTCTTATTCCTGGTCCTACTGACACAATTTTTTTACTGATATAGCTTAGACGATACATGCTTATAATTGATAAACATAGAAATGACGTCTCGGTCAATTTTAACAATGATCAAATATTCATGGCTCCCGATCCCTCTTTTCCTTCTCACTCAATAACCTCTCGTCAAAGATACTGAACCAAAATGTACCTCAAAGCTCGTGTTAATTGGCCCAGGCTGCCTGGACGACGTGCTTGAAAGTTGAATTGGTTTTTACTCGACAAAGGTTTTTACTCGACGTTCGTGTCTTCGCCTTCTCACTCCATAACCTCTCATCAAGATACTGAACCAAAATGTACCTCAAAGCTCACATTAATTGGCCCAGGCTGCCTGGACGACGTGCGTGTGAACGGTCGACGGCTGCCGATGCCCCCGGCCCTGAACGCCACCCGCTGGGGGGCTGTGGAGGCTGCGCTGGACCTGGCGTCGGGGTGCGTGCCACCTTCAGCCTGTGTCAACGCCACCTGCTCTCCGCCCTACAAATGCCTGGATACTTGGAAGCAGTTCACGTGCGAGTAAGAAGCATCTTTGTGTCCATATTTGGGTTCAGCTATTGTCTAAATGCCTGGATACTTGGAAGCAGTTCACGTGCGAGTAAGAAGCATCTTTGGGTCAGTATTTGGACACAATTATTGCTCCCCGCCCTACAAATGCCTGGACACTTGGAAGCAGTTCAAGTGCGAGTATGCAGTTCAAGTACGAGTAAGCAGTTCAAGTGCGAGTAAGCAGTTCAAGTGCGAGTAAGAAGCATCTTTGTGTCAGTATTTGGGTTTAGCTATTGTCTAAACTATAACTTTTGGTGGAAACAACTTTCACCTGTGGCACAATGAAATGATACAAACGAACCTTTAAAAGATGAATTCGCATAAATGATGGCATTTTTTATGGGACTTCTCATTGCATTCATGACTTCACTGTGTGCGCGGTTATGAATAATTTTGAAAATCGGGATGCAAGTGGACCACTTTGTGATTCTGAACAAAAGTTTATGTCAGTTCCAGCCTCATTTCTGAAGGTATACATCAATTCATTACGCTAGGTTGGACATGGATTATAATGAAAGGAAACTCTTTGGTTCCGGAGCTCTATTTTGCTAAAACAAAACCATTAAACGCAGCCCCACACAACGCTGTCCTAACATACAAAGCACTGTTGTGCCATAACAAAACAACCCCAAAAATCTCAGAGCACGCAGGGTCGAGTCCCGTAAAAACAAACACCGACGAGTCGTTCTATACAAAATACCGCTGGAGTTTACCACACAAAACTTCAGTTCAGCATGCCTTCCGTTGTCAATTGTTCGTAAAAACCTCTGAAATATAGCTTGCATGCGCCAATAGGGCTGGAAGAAATGCCACTCTCTTCGGTTTGTGGTCTAAAAAGCGTTTTTTCGCCCCATGGTCCGCAGCTGCGGCGAGGGCTTCCAGCTTAGTCCCGACGGCTCCTCCTGTCTGGATGTGGACGAGTGTCGCTACGAGCCTTGCCTCAACTTCGCCTCGTGCTCAAACTCGGTGCCAGGTATGAAACTTTACCCCAAAGTAAGATTTTTCAACTGATCAGGTTAAGATCGAATACTTAATTATCTTGTTTCAATTGTTGATTCCTTGCATTGGTACTTCAACAATGAAAATCTATTATTTAACGAGTATTACATCTCTGGCTCAACGCTACATGATGCCAGATTGAAAATGAATGTTGAAACATTCTATTTTGCCCTATAGGCTGCGCACCCGGCATTGGTTACCATATGTCTTTCCCGAACTATCTCGAATAGAAAATTTTGTATGAATGCCAAGTTGCGAAAGGATCGATATATATCACTTGCACCATAGAATTGACTATCACTGTCAAACATTTACAATTTGCATGATGAAATGGAGCTCATTGGGTTTAAAAATAAGATTCGTGACGAATAATAGTTATTGCATGGGATATCCTGAACTAAAGTTAAACAATCTTGTATTTGTTCATAATAAATCACTCTTTGGTGTCCATTAAACTTGAATTATTAATTATGTAATAATTTTCTCATGATGACCTTACCATTTTCTGAAATTTTCTGTGAATCCATTCATTTCTTATGAGTAGTTAAGTGATTAGAGTCGAACGGTCATTCAAATCATGACAGTAAAGGTCATGACCTTCTCTGTCATGACCTTTTCTGTCCCCAAATAAAAATTATGAGTGGAGCACCTTTGTTTTTAGGATGGCTATCAGAGGACGCCATAGGTGGAGCGACTATGATTTATATAGTGAATTAAGAGTGGCGTGCACCACCTATCCCACACCTATAACCTGCCGATGGCCCCCCTACCCGTAAAACTCTTCGTCCACCAATAACTGCCCATTGGCACCAGTGGCGCATCTATGAGACACCGATAGCCACCTTTAAAATTATGTCGATAAAAATTTTTAATTCAGTTTCAAATCCGATGCTTTCTTATTTTCTGATATTGCTTCATACAATCCTCATTCTAAGGGCTACGTATGGAAGTTCACCAAGGCATTACAGGTAACAATGTCAGACATGTAGCAGGAACAAATAATCAGAGTACCATACACATACCGTGTGAGAAATCGACTTGAAGAAAGTCCCTGCCTGCAGGATTCGAACTCCGATCTCCCGCACGCGAAGCCGAGCCTCTACCTCGTTGTGCCATCGGAGAGGACATGGCAGTCGAGTAATTTTAAAACATTTAACTGAAGTATTGCAAATATTAATTTCGTCAAATGAGAGAGGTTAATGCTGCCACCGTGATGATTAGATGGTTCCATCAACAATTTTATTTGAACATGCTGCTGCATTCGAGTTAAACACCCGCTGAAAGAAACTTCATTTATCCATAATGATCGAACGATGGTTCAGCTCATAGCAAAGGCTACGGGAAAATGCTTAATAAGCATCGAAGTTTTATAATGTCAACATTACACCAATTCTGACAGCGGTTTGATTCGATATATTTTCACCAAGAATATTCTGACGTGAAATAAGGATTTCATTACACGATTATTTTGAAATATCAGGCGTGAAATACCTGCACCACTTCTAGTCACTATTTTTCTCTAGCCTAATCTTCAGTCTTTTGCGCATGAAAGATACCGGGGCCACTTTCTTAGAAATTTAGGCTTAAAATTTAAATAATTATCTGACTGTATATTAAATTTCACAATCGAAGTCAGGATGGATAACCGAATTTTCACTCGTATCCACTGCGTAAAAAGGATAATTTTATGACAAGCAAATTACCCGGAAAGCACATGTTTCAAGCAGGACATGGTAAAGATAAGCAGGAAGCTCAACGCCGACGCGAGGCAAGTCAACCCAACCGGTATGAACGTGTGCTTACTGGACTCGCTCGCTGCTCGATGTCTAGCCGCTGTGCTTTACAAAGATGCCGAGCCGCTGTCGACTACGTTAACGTACGGCTTTTGAGTTTAGATAAATGGGGCATCTTTAGAATATTGTATATATAATGGAACACACTTGATTGATTCATACAATTTAAACTTAATGATACAATAATTAGTCTCAATTGATCGCACTACTTCCAACACAGCCAGTTGGCGCATACGCAAAATTCACAATAAATTTACGCAATATTTCAGGTGAACATGAAAAATTGGATTCGCCGTCATCTATGGAAAAAGTTTATTTATTGCAACAAAATTTTTTCATTGTATATCGGACAATTTATATAAGGAACAGTCTGATACATGGCCAGTGGCTTCACTTTGGCGCGACAATTTTTTGAACACCTTGCTTCTCTCCATCAGTTTTATTGGAACCTACCTAATTCACGCTAAATTTTCTTACCAGAACTTAATCTTAAAAGCCAAGCACACAAAACGAAGTCATGATCTCGAATGACCCGCAACCCAATAACACCTTTCTACGTTGGATTAATTACAGTGGCAATTATACCTTCGTGCACTGTGCAGTTTGGGCAAACGGTTATCGGTGGCTCACAAGAGATTTTTCTGCAATGCTATAGATGTTTCAGACCCTATAACTCCTCGATAATTCATCGATGACCCCACCTATACTCGCCACCCTTTCGATTTATTCGAGTTTTATTGTCGATTTTCGGCAGATCTGGCCACCCACCGTTACGCCACCGATAATCGGCTATCGCCACCAACAATCATCGGTGCGCCACCCTTAATTTTTATTTGGGTCATGATATGAATGACCGTTCGACTCTAATCACTTAACTATTTATAAGAAATGAATGGATTCACAGTAAATTTCAGAAAATGGTAAGGTCATCATGAGAAAATTATTCTATATTTCTATTCATTATAATAAAAACACAGATTTCAGCGGGAAATTGTATTATATTCTGTAATCATGCATTATTTTCATTTTCTAGTTACATGTTGGCGTTGACTCGACAAACAGACTCTCTGGGAACAAAATTGTTCACAAGCACCAACCATAAAGACAAAAAAGGGAATCTTGTTAGAATAAGCACCCTTGTATGGATATCCTTCTTGTTGAAACGCTCCCCAGAATAAACCTTGTAGAATAACTTTGTTAATCCTCCCTATTCCTTTTTATATTCATATCTTCAAGAATTCATGTGGCGAAAAAGCGTCTCTCAAAATGCTTTTGAAGCCTTATGTGATCATATTGCAGCAAAAAACGTTGACTAAGATGTTTAGCTTATCATTTGGGATTTAATGTTTTGCAATGTATTTTTCTACATTGAATGATAATTTATAAAAGAATTTTAAATACACTTAATTTGTTTGTATTTTTCATTCAATTAACCTTGTTAAGATTACACACCCGAGTAACGAACGTATGAGGTGCTTATTCATAACGTGATCCCAAAAATCATATTTAATAATTTGTGACAATTTACGTTGTGCTGAAAGTATTATTAATAGTTTAGTAGGTAAACTATAGGCAAAAATCCCTAAAGAAAGATCGTGTGGCTTTGTTAGAATGCCAGAAAAAGCCGTTTTGAAACGTTTCATCAATTTGTGTGCAACTCGACGAATGGTCTGTGAATACCATTTCAAGGAAAACATCGGTAGTTTTGCATGTCAGCATTCAAATTTAGGAGCAACCACTTCCAAAGATAAGCCATAATTTTCCCCGCGTGCTGATGAAAATACCGTAAGAGGAGACAATCCCTACAGGCGCGGCGTCCACACTGCATGTAGCCGCCAAACTAGACTATCTCATGACAGGTTGAAGGGATATGAGCTTTCATCAGTTAAATTGCGCGCGTAACTCTTACCATCAGAACTAAAATGAAAACATTAATTAATTCTATAGTACATCTTTCCAAACGACACTCCGTCTTGCAAGCACCAGACGTGCCTATATGAGTAGGTACCTATATTATTTAAAATATAGACTTCAAACCTGGAACCACGGCACAAATTTATTAATTGAAAAGCAGAAGGGAATCTATTTCCCTTGAGATATTATACCCTGTTTCTCCACAAGTTTCACTGTAAATTGAGGGAGTTTGAATACGGACCTCCAGCTGAATACCTTCATGCAATAGCGTCCTTGTAAATTCCAATCAGCCATGTAAGGCTGGCTGAAGGTGATACACAAAAGAATAATCATACCTGGAGCCTTTTAACCGACTTTTCTATAAAGACTGTTGCATGACTGCCGTGTGCATATGCGCCCTCAGTAGTGGAGTTTTCCTCAACTATGTATCATGGTACAGTATCAACTCTACCCTGAGGACGAACATGACTTCATAATGGAGTTTTAAAAGTTTACATTTTGCGTATAAGGTTTAATATTAGGTAAATCTATCATATGTATAGACGATAAACGTTACTGTTATAGTATACAGAAATCGTCTTCTTTGGTTTAATTTGTTCGTATTTATTCCTCGTTGATACAAATGATCTGTTTTTCTTCTCAAGAAGCTGTGTTAAGTGCACGTCTTCATGTGCATGGAAATGGTTCTACTAATCAATGAATGCAATATACAATTCAGTTTCAGGTAAAAAAGTTCTTCTGAATAAATTTTGCTCATTTTTCTTGTTTTCTCTCGATGTTCCTTCAAGTTTTAACTCCCCAGTTTTATTTCATTTTGAATTTTATGAAAACAAGTCTGTCGAGTCATATAACATAATACTACAGACTCATCAATGCGCAGCATCATTGATGAGTCTGCATCATTGCCTACAAATAATTACCTACATCAATGCATCATTACCTACCAAGTAATAGAGTTAATACTGTCGACATTACTTCCATTCATCAACACCAACACTTGCCGCCCCGTATCACAGGCTACCACTGCTCCTGCACTAGCGGCTACGCAGGCCACAACTGTGAGCAGCAGGCCGGACCCTTGGCCTTCCCCCTCGGCGGCCTGCCTGTCCTGCTGGCCTTCACCTTCTCCCTCGCTGCTGTCTTGGGTCATACTGAATATGATTTTGAAGCCTTGTATATTTGTTAAAATCGTTCCATGTTTATGTTTAATTTCGTAAATTAATAATTTACAGCGAAATCACTCATCGTGACGGAAAATCATTTACCGGCACAAAAATATGCTCTTCATTCATTCTACAAAGAGCAGGGTAACACAGGTTTTAAATGCTGTGTGTAAAAACAAGAAGTTGCCCGTAGCAGTGTAACTTCTCAGGTTAATCCAGATCAGCAGGCCTACTCTGCATTGCTGGAAAACGCCCCAGCTTCTGGTAATCCAAATCAGAAGCTGCCGCTTCTGTAAATTTTCACTGGCTAACAAAATTTAGAGTCGCCACAGCTTCTGGTAATCCAAATCAGAAGCTGCCGCTTCTGTAAATTTTCACTGGGAATAAACTTGCTTCACACGGAAAAATTCATAGAATTAATGCAATTCCTGTAGCGCTTCCCAAATTTATGGCGAGGCGTCTTCTCATCGCAGGATACGAGGATCAGTCTTAATAGTTGTGCTAACGTCAGTTAACACACCAGTTTATTTATGTACTTATCAACACACTTATGCATACACCCTGTAAATATCATGAAATATTGAATCAACAATGCAGTATTTCAGACATTTTTTTTTCTTAGTTAATCATTTAATCAATGATTTACTATTATTTCGTTTCTGTGGCTTATTGTTAATATTTTTAAGGACGAATTTGCTGTTTCTACAGGTTTGCTGGCGATTGCAGTGTCAACTTATTTTCTAAGGCGCCGGAAACTCGAACTCAAGACAACGTCAGTCGACGGAGCAGCAAGTAAACAAAAACAACAACAAGTCATAACCTCAACAATCATAGACTCCTCCAACCTCTCCCCAGTGCCTTCTAAAGAATCTAAGAAAACTATTTCCATAGAGGAGCCATCTAGCGATAAGCAATTTCCTAAAGAATCGATGAAAAACATGACATTATTTTCAAAACCTTCTTCGAAAAATGCAGCGCTTTCCAAAGGACTGCAAAGGAAGAGTTCATCATCCAAAGAATCCTTCTCTTGTGAAGGAATAAATTCAGTAGCCGGCCACGCCATCGAGGTGCGCTACACGGCCAGCGCCGCCACACACACGACACTCGCGCCCAGCGTCTGCGAGCTGCACGCGCTCCAGCACGACGCCGTGCCTTGCTTAGGGCGCTCCAACCCCGACGCCGTGCCTTGCTTATGGCGCTCCAACCCCGACGCCGTGCCTTGCTTATGGCGCTCCAACCCCGACGCCGGGCCTTGCTTAGGGCGCTCCAACCCCGACGCAGTGCCTTGCTTAGGGCGCTCCAACCCCGACCTCACAGGTAAGTTCTCCTACAAATCCTAAGAGACAGTTTAACCAAGCTGATAGGTGTTATTTTGATGTAAAATCTATGGCATTTTTACCCTGAAATGTCCGCAGTCGATGGTGTATAGAGATTGACCCTAGTCTACTTATGGTAACTCAAGTTACAATGCATTTCAACTCGATTAGCATTAACACGTTGACTCCGAAGTGGTACATATGCGTACCACGAAATGTATTTCTCCAGGACGTAGCGGTGCATAATTAAGGGCTACCAGATGGCCTAAAATACGGCCAAGTCCGCGAACATAAAAGGCCAAAAAAGGTCTATAACTCAATATTTACTGGTATATTTTTAGGTTCCAGTGCAAAAATTCCATTTCCTTTTTATTTGAATTTAACTAGGAAGTAACCCTATCATAAATTTTAGCCGACCAACGCAATTGACAAAAAACTAAATCGCGGAATTTGTCCGGAAAAAAATACTGTCTGGCAACCTTGTTTCATTATAGTACAACAAATGAAATAATATTACGAGATGAAGCAATCGGAGTCAAAGTGTTAAGGGGGATTAATGCATCTGACGAAAAATATTATAACTAGTGAAAGCGGCTCAATTGAGCGGTAACTATTTTCACGTGACCGCTTTTTTGTGTCATGCATCAGGCGAGGACGTGACGAAGTCTGGCCATGCAGGGCCACTGAACGCTCTAACGCTCATGGCACCTCGAGGCTATAGAGACGAAGATGAGGTCCAGCACAACAAACTGCGAGATGTTATAAGTAAGGGGTTATAACGTTAAGGGGAGCGTCTACCCTAAAATTGAAAATTTTTACTTTTTCGGTTTTTATACTAATTTTAAAGCTGACATTCTGCCCTATCCAACGGTACC